GGTTTTATTTTCTGAACGTTACCAATTAATAAAAGTGATTTTAATTATCTGCCTTTAATTAAATTAATGATGTTTAATAGTTTTTAAACTACATAGGAGATGTTTTGAGTCAACCGTTATGTAAGTGATTACTTTTGGAAAACTCTGTTAACCTTTTCCAGTGCAATGCAATCAGTCTAGCAATACTAATTCAAAATATATAGCAAACCAATAGAAATAACCGTTTTTAAATGGGTAGCAACCACTATTCTATAAACAACAAACAGCTAAAGTAGGACACTTAGTATTAAGTTAACATATTGCCTAAATCATGACTTATATTAAATATCAAATCATGTTTAATTTATCAAGCAAATATGCTTGATCTTCTGTAATGCTACCTAAATGCTGCATAATTCAAAATGTTTTTTAATTCAACTTGTAAATACTTCATGATGAATGGGTTAGGGGCCGCTGCGCGGCCCAGGCACCCAATTTTAGATAAATAAAGAGAAGAGAGAACTAAGCTTAAAAAAAAAAGTTAACATCAACAAAACCGTTTCATCGCAAGCTAAGCCTTCGATTTGATTCATCTCAACGCATCTCGGAAGCTTTGGAATGAGTATTAGAACTCATCTCCAGCTAAGTCCTTTTTAAGATTAGAAACTTATCTGCTAATTGTTTAGTAATCTTCGTGCTGTTTCCTGGCACTATTTTTCTACTTCTAATTTTATTTGAATTAATTGTACTTTATCTCCCTAGACGTCCATTCAGGGTGGAACACACACAGGGTCGGCCACATAAGAAAACCAGCCATATCTGTTCAAAACATTCATGCATGCGAAATTTCAAAGCAATCAGATGATTGCTTCTTGGTGCGTCAATTTTTTTGTTATAGAGTGTACTTTGTTTATTTTGTGAGATTTTATTCCATTTATGTTTAATAAATATTTATTAAATAAATGTTTGAAAATTTATTAAATGTTGGAAATTTATACATTTAACAGGACAGCATTAGTAATCGCGATCATTATTAACCATGGTAAAGTTTTGTAATTTTTTCCCCATAAATCAGGACAATGCTTTTAAATGCAGTAACCAATATTTAGAGCAAATAATTTTGATTCTCTTACATTAACTGTTAGTTTTCTCTTAATATTGGTGCGTGGTAATTCTGGATTGGGTTTAAAACTACAAGGCTACAGAATTGAACATTGGTAGTCGTAAACTCAAAATTGGGTCTGCTATTCAAATCCGGTTATAAAATGTATTTGTTACAATCTTTTCTTATTCTTCTTTTGAGAAATATTCTCTAATAAGTACATTTTAAAAGTCAGAGGGGGATGGGAGAAGTTGCTCATTCATTATCTAAGGCTACCGATGTGGAAAGTGTGTAAGAAATACGCTATTAGGCTATTGGCAGTGATTGAGCGAGGAATTTTTGAGTACATTATTGGATTCTGTAACAAATACCGAATAGGGTGTTCAACCAATACCTCTTAGAAGAAAGGAAGCCTCACGACGGATCAATTTAGTAGTCCAGCGTAACGAACATAAACTGCGCAGTGGATGAAAAGTAGGAAAGATGTCATTGAGTTCGGGCTCGTTGTTTGCCATGAAAGTTTCCCGAGATTCAGACGCAATAACGTGAGCTAATTGAACTCGTCATTTTAGAGCAGTTCGTATTTTGACTTCAATTAACTTCACGTCATATTGGACTGGGAAACAAGGTGAAGTACTGTGGCGTTGCCATCTGTCGGGAAGCATGATTGTTGCGATTACATTGTCGTCTACATGGAGGAGTGAGAGAGTGAGGTTCATAGGCTGCCAATTGGGAACGAATTAAGCACCTCTTGGTCCGTAAACAAATACTCTTAAGGACAAAATAATAAAGTTACTTCTGTTAGGTGTCCTAATTTAGTTACATAGTTTGAGCTTTTTTCATGCTTAAAAGAATAAGAACTGAGTTAAAATTAAGAAAAACATTTTTAAGTAAGAGATTCGCAGAAATCAATTACTTTGAGGCAGCAGAGAAATACTGCTTCTTTAGAATTTCGTTTATTTTAGGATTATTATTTGTGGAGATTACGAATAAATCAGTTTTCTTTCTTTTCAAATTAATAACTGAAGAAAAATTGGGAAAGTGTAAATATTAAAGCCGCAAAATCAGCAATTAAAAACCCAACAAGACAAAAACTCTAAAAGAAAGTACTGTTACTATATTTGGAGATACAGTTCTACTTGCTTCAAAAGCAAAATTGCTTCGTCTCACCATTACGAACACTTTAAAATGGGATGAACAAATTATTAAAGTTAATAAAAACAAAATTATTATTTTGAAACTAATACAAAAATCTGAAATTTTTATGGTTGAATTTTTCGATTGACTTTATTTATTACTATTATTTTTTGCATTGAAGTAGAGGTTATGAAAAATCAATATTGTGCAAGTTTCAGTAATAAAAAATTTTCTCTCCCCTTTAGAAAATTTCAAAATCATTTTTTAAAAGTGAAAAGTATGTTTTCGAGGGAGTTTATCTAAAAAAAGCAACAACAGCCCGAATATGTTTTGCTATATTATTAGTATATCACTGCCTAGTTATGGACACGCACTTGCATGGGGCCCTGCTGCTTTTAAAAATTATGCTCTGTCAAAGTTAGTGAAAAATTCAGTTAAAGTTTTCTTTTAACACAAGCTCCGTGCCACAGCACTTCTTTGAGTTAATGATGCTTTTAGTAAATATAGCTTTTCAAACTTTCAAATAATGCAAAATCCATTTTTATTTTATTTAGCTTATTGTCTTAAAACAGCATCGTCACTCAAAGAAAAAAAAGTAACTGTGCCATATTGTCGGTGAATGCATTTACTAATACGTGGGAAAGAAAATACGTGGGAAAAAAAATCAATTGAACTTCATCCCATCTTCAAGGGAAAAAAATACTAAAATGGATATGAATGCTTATTTGGAAATCACGTCCTTTCTCCTTTTTAAGACAGTAATGATGGTTTCTCCCATCAAAATCAGTTAAAAGGAGAATGTTTTTTAAGAACACTATTCCGAAATTAAAAATATAATTATGGAAAGAAAAACAATGAGGAGGTTGTTTTCTGATTCATTTAACCTCCAAGAAAGTCACTGTTTTTGCTGTCAGCCATTTCTCCTAAATAGTTCTGAGCCTGTGAAAAATTTTTATACCTTATCATAAAAATCAAAAAAACAATATATAATCTTTTCTGAACTGCACAAACATTATAATCAGTGTGAAAGGATATAAATTTGTTTCAAGTAAATCTTAAAGATAAAACCTATGAGATTTTCTTGATTAATTACTTATTTAATTTCAAGCCTGCTTGATTAAATAACGTAATATTTAATGGTAGATATAGCGTATGTAACATTTGAAAAATCCAGAGTGTGAATTTTTTGAGAAATTTTTAAAAGGTAAAGCTTTTCTGGAAAGAAAGAATGTTAGACTTCTAAACCAACAAAATGAAGTTTTGCTTCACATATTTAACTTTCGAAAACACAGCAGGGGAAAGCAGCATGATCCAGAATTTTACATCTAATTACAACAGACATACAGGAAAAGATTTTGTTCTAAAGATCAACAAATAAAATTCAGCATTACATGCTAAATTTGAAAAGAATGGAAGAAGATCTTTCAACTATATAAGTTAATCAGGAGAGTACTAATTTTAATACAGAACAGAAGTAAATGTACCCGAAGTTATGAGATCCATATTCTGAAATAAAAGTGATTTCGATTTAATTAAATCAGATTGCCTTTTTAATTAATAGCGTTTGGAATCCTGAAGAAATAGCTGATATTTAAAGCAGCGTTACGAAGAAAAAGTACATTGTATTTTAATCGAAGGTGAGTAGGTTTTAATACTGGCCGTACATTTCTGAAGAAAAAAATGAATGGTTTAAATCCTGTGTGAAAAAAATGGCCCAGCTCTATTAAAAGTAGATTTTTTAGTATCCTTGAATTTTATTTTAAAACTGTCACTAAGTAACACGAAGAAATGAGTAAATAATAAGAAATGAATGCATCATTTTATGTTTTATTGTTTATTTCTAACAGTACTTTATACAAATACATTATTAAATGAAGCATATTTTTTTTCTATTTTTTAATGCCATAATGCTTCAGTGCTTATTCTTCCCTATTTATATGTTTCTGTCACTTATACAGTTTTTTTTTAAAAAAAAAAACGTTTTTTTAACTGTGATTTATAACATAACATTTATATGCAACTTTGGTCTTTTTTCTTCTTCTTGAAAATGGGACGAGCTTTCATTGATTTTTCTTTTGCACCTGTAAGTAGATACATTCAACAACAAGATGTAACGATGCTGTTTTGAGAAAAGCTCAGTAAAATAATTGTAGATTTTGCATTTTTTGGAAGTTCGAATGAAAGTTATCTACTAAGAGCATCATTATCCTTGGATAAGTGCAGGGTGACAGAGTTGTGAACTTTAATATTAAGTAAAGAACTTAATGAGCTCTACTAAGATTATCAGATCAGAAAAATGCTGAAAATTGAATTTTTTCACTATTTGATAAAGCATAACTCTGAAAAGCAACAATGCTCAATAAAACGAACGTATGTCCATGATTAAGCAGCGATGTATAAATAATATAATAAAGCAAAACTTAAGGGAGTTTTTTTTAGGCAAATCCCATAAAAGAATTTTTTTTTCACTTTTCAAAAAATGACCTTGAACTTTTACAGGGGATGGAGCATTTTTTAGGACCTCAAATATGACAGTATTTATTTTTCGTAACCTACTTCAATATATAAAAAATAATCAATAAATAAAAAGACATTGGAAATATTTTAGCTTTATTATCTGCGTCGATATTAGTTTTGTGCAAGATTTTGTAGTGAAGTTTTCTAGTATAAAGTCATAATTTAAAAAATAGCTACTGTCTATTAGAAATATCTATAATGACTAGAAATCGTTCATAAACTTAAAAGAGTATGGATGCTCTATTTTTAGTTTTGTTGTACCTGTTTATTAAACAAAAGTATGATTATTGTTTACATAAATAAGTTTAATACTGAATTAATTACAACATCATTAACTTAAATTATGACATAGAAAGGCTTATTTTCTTCTTCTTTTTATTGATTCTTAACAATAAATACATCTGAACGAAGAAAAGGAATTAATTTTCCTCACCTAATCTGGAATATAGGTGGAATATGAAACGTTATGAGAATTCCATATTTCCAATGTTTCAAAACAATTAATTGATATCTGCGCATTACTATGCGTTAAAATTTGGCAATTACCATTTTTATCATAACTTTTTAAATTATTTATATTGATTTAATGGCTTGTAATAGACAGCATAGGAATGGTTAAAACCTTTTGGAAATTACCAATGGATTTAAGGCAGCATCAATGAAGAACTGACACGCACTTCTCAATGAGGACGTCTTTAAAAATAAGTCAGTCATATTCACAATGTTCAATATTCACACAACATTCTTCAATATGACAGTTCCATTCACTGTATTGACTGGCATAATTTTTTTTCTCAGCTTTCCATCCAAAAATACTTTATTTAATTCCGTGAAAGGTGACTCGAAGATTAAAACTAGCACCAAAGCTGTCAAGAAGCTGAGGAACATATTATTGAAAAATAGGAAGATCTGGAAAGCAGACAAAATGAGAATAGTTAAATATGATATACAAAATTCAGAAAGGAAAAACCCCTATACTAACTAAATGTAAACAATTTTTCTTTCAGCAGTAAATGTCTGGGAAAATATTACATGGCAAAATTGTAGTCACAGTTTGAAAAATCATGCTTGAAGCTTTTAGAAGTGGGATCCATTTTAGGCCTATAAAAATTGCATCGACCAACATTAGTGTAGGTAGTTAAAAACTTTTTTTCATTTTTAATACAACTAAAATTAAAAACGCATTCTAAAATAAATATTGCAATCATGTAAATGTGTTTATAAAATTGCTAATATTAAAGCTAATAAGCATAACTTCTTCTTTCAGGTCCTAAGCATTCGATACCTTGCTAAATGCGGTAAAATCGTAAATTTGGCGAATAAAAATATGTTTTGGCGAATGATTTTTTCCACTGGAAAGAAAAAAATATTTTTAACTCGGTCCTCAAAATAACGTCTAAATGAATTTTTCTAAACAAATCAGAAGTTTTTATTCAATTACAGAAATTTTCTGTATTGTTGATACATTTACAGTAATTGGTACGATTACAGTGATTGATACGATTACAGTAATTTTCTGTATTGATGCATAACCGATTAGAATTGGGTCCAAATGATATACGCCTGAAACAAACTACCGAAAAACAGTTTTCTATGGGGGAAAAAATTAATCATAAAATATTAAAATGAAGATTTGCATTTGGTGAAGTCTTTTAATAGTGGGTTAATTTACTGGCTAATATATTGAAATCCTTAGCTCGGGCCCTGTTCTTTGCATTTTGATTGATTCGAATTTTATATGGGTGTATTAGGCATCATTATTAAAAGATTCAAGCAATTCCAAAAGCTTCTAAATATAGGATTGTAATGTTTATATCACATTCAAATTATAATATAAAATGCAACATTTTTGTACTCATATCCGGGTGAAACTGCTAAAGAGTAGGCGTCCTGCAAGTTTTACTATTTAATTCGCTACAGATTTATGAAAATTTTTGTAGAACGGCGAACAGTTTGCATCCCTGAAGTAAAGCCTGTTAAAAAGTTGGCAATAGTAACCAAAAATCTGCAAATTTTAGTTTGCAGTTTATTAACCATTTTTTAAAATATTTTTTCGAATTCGGATCAGTTGGCATCTCTGTTGGTCGATGTAATTTTTTAAAGCTAATCCAAAGGACCCCACTTCTAAAAGTTGCAAGCATGATCTTTCAAACTGTGTCAACAGTTTTGCAATGTAAAATCTTCCAAAACATTTACTTCTAAAAGAATGACAGTTTACATAGAGTTAGCATTGAAGTCTTTTTATATTTTTTTCCAACCCCTAGCACTAACACTTTTCAAAATGCGAGTCGAAACAAAATAATAGCATTACAAGTCACTAAAGTGCTAGAAATTGTGCAAAATGCGAAAGATAAGGAAAATCAGACATAGTTTGTCTACGGTAAGAACTCCTCCTTCCACAAAATCAAAGGCTGTCTACTGCTATGGCAACAAGAAGAGCGCATTTATAGGAGGATAGCTTCTCCTCAATTTAGGGCTAACACAATAGACGGAAGAAAAATATTCTATTTCTCTCTCTCGAGCCAAAACCTGTCCTAAACAATGACTCCACATCCCTACTTGAAATAGTTATACCTCGTTGCTATAGTCAGCGCCACGGGTCCAGACGAATGGCTAGGGGAGTTCTTACTTTAGACAAACTATTACTTAGAATTGATCCATGGTGCCGCAGGTTATAGAGCGTTCCCTTCCAAAAAAGGTGAACCGGGTTTGATTCACTGCGATGGCTGGTAGATGCGAATTCTGGAACCTGCACGCACCGACCACAGTGCTGGCGTAAAAATATCCTCAGAGGTAAATGGGTTAGAATCCCCTCTCCGCCATGATAATCGTCGGAGATTTTTGTGGTTTTCCTCTCCATATAACGCAAATGCACGCTAGTTCCTTCAAAAAGTCTTTCACGAAGGCACATTTCTCCCAATGCTTTATCGAGGAGTTCACTTGTCTTCTGGATTGGGTTAAAAGTTACAAGGCTGCGGAATTGAACATAAGTAGTTGTAAACCCAGAAATTAGGCTGGCTGTTCAACGACAGTTATAAAATAAAGTAACTTTAATTTTTTATCTGCCATTTATCATTTTTTATCCATCATTTATTTAATAACTTAATTTTTATATTTTTAGAAAAATGGCATAATTCCCGAAGTGAACTTGTCTTTACGATTTTCCCCAAGTAACGTTCTCCAATTTTTTTTAATTATAATACCCTTTTTAAAAACTTATTCCTGACTGTTCAATTCAGCAGTTTTAGAAAGAGATGCATCCTGCCGCGGCAAAAATTTTTAAGTAATAAAATTTGAAGGACTGCATCTGGAATAATATCATTTTATTACACTTAATAATCGTTTATGGCTGACAAGAGTATGTTGAATCTATATTTCTTATGATGGGACAGGCCTCCTGCGTTCCACTGTAGAACACTCAGGCTACACGGAGACCCACGAGGGTAGGCTGGCTTCGAGATGTGCTGCATGCCGAAGTTGGTAGATCTTTTAGCTGTCGAGACGTTTCCGGGGTACACCACTAGGAGGTGAATCTACCATCGCCAGTGGTGGGCCATGATTGCCTGACGAGCCACCTCTGCCGCATCGGCATTCTCGCTGACCCAAATTGCCCGTTATGCTCGAATAATGAACTTATGAACGGGAACCATCTATTGAGATGCTCAGCTCTGCGTGGGGACTCTGAGGTGAGGCGCTACTGGAGTGCCAGACATCTGTTAATGAGATAGTGACTTTTTTCTCTTACTTGTTGTTCACCTTTTTGTTCATCGTTTTTGTAATTGTCATTTTCTTTTACCATTAGAAATAAAAAAAATCGTTTATGAAGTTAAATATTCATCTTCTGAGATTTAGTTGAAATCTTTACTGTAATAATTTTTTAGAACTTTCGTATAACAGCCGACCCAAATTTGAGTTTATGACTACCAATGTTTAACTCCATTCAACTTGTAATTTTGAACCCAAAACAGAAAACAAGGAAACTCCTGTATCAAGCATAGAGGCAAATTAGGGTTATCTACTCTTTCGTCTAAGTTTATAATTAATAAGAGTTAGAATGGGGCAATTTAACACTAGATTCACGGACGTTTCGCATATCTATTAACATCTCTACGAACACGCGTTAATTTGACGCATGAAGGAATACATATAACAGCACTGACAGCGATGCCAACTTGTTTCCCGACAGCAAATATATATTTTAAAGTGGTAGTTTATCAATTGTGATTCTTGGTCTAATAAATTCAATTTAGTGGACTTTTATCAACCACTATTAATAATTCGTAAGCTTATACAATTCACCACTTTATATTTGCAAAATTTACTTAGTAGTTATTTAAAGTTTTTCTAAAATTATTTTGGTGTGGCCGGAGCAGTTGGCATCTCTGCAATATAATAATATACTGTAAGAAAAAAATGAAAATATGAGATATATATTTATGAAATATTCTAGTATTTTGTATTTCAATACTCGAACTAAACAAATGAAAACTTCAAAATTTGACTCTCTGACATCAATTGACATTCTGCGTTTGTTCTTTCTGTTATTCTTATCGGCGATAGTTGTTTATCGCTTGTTTCATTTGAGATAACGATATCGGATAACGGATCGAAGTATATACAGTACATTCCTATTTATTATTGATGTGATGTTTGCATGTTTCTCAAAATTTTCTCTAAATTACGATAGCGTCAAATTGATGCAATTGTATACCACGAGGAGAATTTCAATATTTCAACACTTTTGAAGAAAATAGACTTCAATATACATTTAACTCGATCAATGGATAAAAGTCATTACAAGAGATAAAATAAAAATGCAAATGGGTTTTGTAAATTTCCTTATAAAATTCGAAATGCGTCAAAATGACGCCTCCCGCAAACCTAGTGTTAAAGGTGTGGTTAATATTTTTCAAAAAAATACTTACAAAATAAAATGGGTAGTTAATATATGACACAAGTGAATATACTTCTATGTAGACTATAATTTTTTGCAACATTTTATATAGCAAATCTGTTGGCAGAGTTTGAAAGACCATGCTTCTTGAAGTTTAAAGAAATGACATCCATTTCACCCAAGCAAAATACGGATCGTTCAAATAATATATAAATTAGATCGTGACACATAATTTTTAAAATAGTTTCATAAATATAGTGGTATTAGAAAAGAAAAAGCTTTTAACTTCTAATGCTCATTTAATTCAATGCAAATTTTCTTGAATAAAAATGACATTATTTCTAAAAACTTCAAGCATGATTTCAAATTGTGCTAGCAGTTTTACCACACCAAATTTTGCAAAACATTTGCTTCGAAAAGAAAGATTATTCACATAGAGTTTTTCCATAACTTAGTACAATGCCTAAAACTTTTTGATCTTGCTACTTTGTTTTCAAAAATAAAATTACTCATTCTCATACATGGTGGTTATCTTAGCATCAGCCCCGCCAGGGGCTTTAACTAATTCATCTGAGGGGGAATAAATAATAAATCGCCGAAGCGCAAATGAATGGTGAAAGTTGGGGTTCAGTAACATTTACTGAGAGAAAATTAAAATAAAGTAGCGAGATTAAACAAACAAATTTAAGAGAAAGAAGAGGTTTTTGTAACAGACTGCCTCGCCTCCTCACTAGGTATTACCCCCGAGCTTCTCAGGTGCACAGTAGCCTCAGAGAAAAGGAAAAATGCATGATAATAAATTCGCAAAAATATATACAAGTATTTACAAAATTTACGGTAAAAAACTCCATCGGATAGGAAAAAGGCGGTGGCCGGGCTATATTGGCTTTGATTAGCTCAAAATCAAAGTTTTTAAAGTACAGTGACCTCTCACTTATGCATCACCTCTTTTATGCACCTTTTTCATTTATACGACGATTTTTATAGGTCCCTGTACTTTGAATAGGAAAATAAAGATATACAGCCTTCGTTTATGCGTCGCTCTAAAAATAAATTTTTCAATTATGCGCCGAAATTTTAGGCTAAAATTTTGGTTTTTTAATCCTTTAAATATTTTTTCTTTTTTTTAAAAATTTTTTTTAACTTAAAAATGAAGCAAATAAGCAATCCTTGTCACAGATAAAGAGAAATATATGTTGTTAAATCCTATTGAATTTGCTTCCCCCTGTGACCTTTTGCATTTTTGCTGTTTCTGGAAAGACATTCTTTCTAGAATTTTGAATAGGGTGTCTTATCTGTTACACCAACAACAATGAAAGCCCATTCATCTTTTAGAAATTGACCATTCCCCTTGTCCAGAGGTTGTTTTACTCCTATGCTGTTTTCTAGAAGAAAAAAAAGACACCTGGAATACGAAAGATGAAAGAGACCGCGATCACTTACTTGCAGTCGGATGGACATTATGAGTAAATAAAAGGAGGTGATCTGTTTAGTGAATGAAGTACTTGAACAACTTATTGTGCAGCATATTATGACGTCAAGTACTTTTCTTAGAAATTTATCATGTGATATTTCACCCCCTCCCATAAAACTCAAATTTTTGTGAAGAACTGTTCATTTATATCTAACTAAAACTTGTGAGCGATGAGAACGTGGTGGATGACACTGACGAGATGATAAAATTCCTCCAAATCACACAGCAGTATTGAAAGCTTTAGACACTATTCCTGACTCTTTACAATTTAATTTTGCTTCTGAAACTCCCCCTTATCCCATTTATATTAACTGGAAAAAAACTGTTTTTGAATAACGTAGGCAAAAACAAATTCAAACATGTATTAGGATTATTTTGTAAGAAAATAAATTCTCTTAAGGTATGTTAAATTTTTTCGTTGTATATTTATAGCAAATAGCAAAACAGTATAAATATTAACATTTAATCTTTAGAAATATATTTATTCGTATTGTCACTGCAATTTAAGTTGCATTTTAGAATTTTGAAGTTTTTCACTTATGCGCCTCTTTCACTTATGCGCTTTTTTCTCTTGGCCCCTTACACCGGTGCACAAGTGAGAGTTCACTGTAGTTGCATGCATCACAGGACAGTGCATCTCTGAAGAAACTTGCACATAGCTTCTCATTATCATCATCATCAATATTTATCTGGGCGCCTGGGGCCGTAGCTTCTCATTACTACGTCTAAAGAATTGTAATAGATACAGAAAATATTTTTCTAGTGGTAGCAATTAAATGTAATGCATACTAATTTTAATTAATTAAAATTATAAAAATTTAATCAATCACTAATTATAAACTGTTAAAATAGATGTAAGTAGCATCTACTACATTTAATTGTAGCATATTCGATTTATTACACTCTTGTAATGAAGCGGAGACAGCAAACAAGAGCAAAGCATTTAACATAAAGAAAATCGAGCAGAAACGTAGCTATCTTCTTAAGATTTAGTGAAACAGTTTTCCCAGGGTCTGGATTTTTTTTTAATTTTAAGTCGTAGCAAAAGTGAGATATATCTAAATGTTTTAAGTCATAACTAAATATTTAATTTAAAGGAAATAGATAAGGGTACGAAAAATAACTCTGGTATTATTTCGTAATTCACAAATGAAAAATAAATGTAAGCATTTTTTAGTAATCTTGAGAAATCTTAGCTACCACTCATTTATTTTTTTAAGGTCGTGTGAAAACTGTAAAAGGTTTATAAGAAATTCAATTTGTTTCTAGAGTTTCTGCTTTTTTTCACTACTATTGAGAAAAATAAATTAACGATAACAGCACTTGTTGGAGAGTATGTTGTTATGACTCAGTTTTTATACTTTCCGGTCCTGATGTTTAAGTTACTTTTAGTTTAGTATTTTTCATTTTAAGTAATTTTTTCACCACTAAGTATCTAAAATTATAAGTATGATATGAAATGCAACGTTAAACTGGTCTCCAATGATCACACCTAGACCAATCAGATCAACCCAAATTTTAAAATCTATATCTTATAAGTTTTTATCTTTCTTTCCCTGTATCTTGTACTCAACTCATGATTTTAGTATTTCATGATTTCATTTCATATGGAAAGGTAAAAGGCCCCTTCGGGGCCTAAACGCCTTATTAAAACAGAGACGACGACGTTAAACTTGTTACTCTTACAGAGGAACCTAGTGACTCAACAATGCCCATGGTTACAGAAACGCCTACCCTTCCAGAAATGACAAAGGAGTCAACTGTGGAATCTCCCCTTGAAGTACCCTCAACCGGGACCCGTGTAGTAGAAGAATCTGATTCCATAATTCCCCCTGCTAAAAGACCTAGGAAGAAAAAGAGTCACAAAGCCAGAGAATCAAAGCTGCCTTCTCCTGCCAGTCTTGAAACTCCACCAGTGATCATCCCACCAGATCCAGAAACGATGGAGCCTACTCCACCGACATCAATTCCTATGGAGTCTACTGTTTCTAGTGATATTTCCAGATTCCCCTGAACATCGGGAATTCATCGACGTGAAAAATCTACTGAACCTGCCAGTTAAGATAGAGAAATTTCATGAAGGGCGCTTTGCTATTCAATGTTATAAGTGCCAGAAATTTGATCATACGCAGAAATCCTGCCCCAACGAGCCTGCTTGTATGAAGTGTGCAGGAGCGTACTTCACCTATCTTTGCGAGAAACCTCTCTCCCTCCCAGTTACTTGTGCCAACTGCAGAGGCGACCACCCGGCCTGATTTACAGGCTACAGTGCCCAGCCTCAGAGAAAACATCGTGCTTCCTCGTCTAAACCAAAAGACTCTCACTCTAATGCTGCAAGGTTCCTGAAAATCTTCAAAGAGCTTCTGGAGTTACTCAAGGATGAGGCAGTAATTTCACTGCTTACCTCTCTTCTTCCAACCCTCAAGACCTAGTCAACAGACATTCTCCTTCATGCCTACTACAGCCACATGACGAACTTATGCCCCACCTATCCTACTAAATCAACACCTACTTCAGATCTGCTTCGGCAGTGCAATTTCAACCCCACTGAGATGAATGAATTGGGGTTCCTGACGGGGCCGGTACGTAGTTAACCATTTCACATAGGCATCTGGTAACTATATTAAAAAGTAGGAGTTACTATCTTCCTTCCTTCACACTCGGCAAATCCATATCGTTCATAAATGTTTATCGTGCACGGGGAAATGGTGGGATCCGTATTGAAATCAGGGGGGAAATTTCTTCGCCCGCGATTTTCACGTGACCCGTTGTGGGGGACGAAACAGATACCCCGCTCAAATCGCGGGAGCCGTACTCGGATTGTTAACCATATAGTAAAAGGAATCTGAAAATTAGATGAATCCCAAATCGATAGTTTCTATATTTGGGAGGATATTGTATTTTAGGAGCTTTATTTGAGATATATTTTTAAGGATTTTATTTATTTAATAGTATTTTTTGTACAAGATCTTACCATAGCCCGATGTCCGAAAATCATTGGCTGCCTTACGAACCCATAATAAATATACATTAGACCATAATTAATGAGGTACACCATGTAAGTCAATCTTGAGAATGATACAAAGCCTTCCCAACTCAGAATACTATTGATGATTCCTGAAAAATAAAAGTAAAAACGATTATTACATCTTGAGTAATAATCGCTTCATCTTGAGATTGCTTTTTTTTAAACAGACAGTTCTATTTTGCGAAAAGTACTTGAAGTTGCCATCACAAAAGGCTCATTGTTAACATTTACATACCTGCCAATTTTTAATCTTTTCGAGGCTGATTTGTTAGCATTAACATACCTGCCAACTTTTAATCCTTTCGAGGTTGATTTTTCCCAGTGGTAGTAAAATGGAAACTGGTTTGAATTAAGATTTTAGACAGAAAAAAAAACGTTTTATTTTGTGATTTTGTGAAATCTGCCGACCTGGGGGCCGAGTGTTTAGCGTGCCTGACTGCGGAGCCGCTGGTTAGAATCCTGCTCAAGGCATGGATGCTTCTTTCTCTCTGTGTTCTATGTCCTTTCACCTTTGTGTGAATGTGACCAGCCCTATAAACGGGTTTGTGGTTGTGTGACGTGGGTGACGCTGCTCCACCGCCGTGGTTTCGCCACAGGTGCCCTCTGGGTAACGAGAAGAGAGTAGCAGTTCTGTGGCCAATGGGACAACCACCAAGTGCCCATCATTTAAAAAAAAAAGAATTGGAAATCTTAAGAAGACAACAATGTCCGTTCTTTCGTTGTTGTGGAACTGGGCGTCTGCGGCCTTACTGTCCTTTTCCCATTCATCCTGAAATTAAACTAAGAAACATACATGACAAAATTAAAGGCAGACAGCCATGTTAGTATCACATATTAATATATATGCTTTATTATTTTTGTAAGGAATATTGGTGGTCAGAAACATAAAAAATTAAGTTTATAAATGTAAGGATAGCATACATTTACAGCAGGTTAAATGAAAAAATAAAATTTCACGCAAAATGCGCAAAAGTTGGCAGGTATGCATTTATTTATGTGAGAATACTATAGTCATGTGCAAAAAACGGACGAATCGATAGTTTAATGAACTCTTTTTTGTGAATCGATTAATCAAGTTCGTTTTTTAAAAATAATCGATTCTTTTTTTTCTTTTTGTCAATATTTGATATTCTACACTGTATCAGCTTATTCAGAGTTACTTCTGCACCCTAGAGAACAAAGTGTAGATTAATGGTTCCAAATTGGTGTTCCGTAAAGCCCTATGGTTCCGTGGGAAAGTTACAGCCGTTACACGAGATAGTACTTTTATAGCCACCCAGCTAGAACATTCAGCTTCTAGACCCTAGAGTATAAGGGTTTAAAAAAGCGGTTCCCAAATGGTATTCCGTGGATCCCTAGGGTTCCGTTAAGTGTTACAGAGGTTCCACGAGTTAGTACTTTTTATAGCCAGTGATGAGTTTCAAAACCTCAGATTGTATTTAGAGACAATCTATAATTTATTTAACATTTCGGTTGCCTTTATGAAATTAATTCTGAAAAAATACCAATAAAATAGAAATTTTTTTTATTAATTAAAATGTTCTACCGAAAGAAGGTTAATTATTTAGTGTGTGTAGCCCAAAAATATTTGGAACCGCTGACCTAGATCAACTAATTCAAACACTAAAACAGTCTGAACTAATTTGTTCGACCTCCACTTATAACGACTCTTTCATTATAACGACCACTTTAAAAAAAAGAAACAAAGAATCGATTGGCACATCGCTAATACTACAGATAATACCGAAAAGAAAGCAATTATTAACCATTTTAACATAATTTTCTTTTAAAAAGGTTTCTATTTTTCGAAAACAATGGTAGAATGGTAGAAATCACAAAAATCTCGGTGTGCTGCCGCTAAGCTGCATTAACCAATTCATCGGTAGTAATAAATCGATGATGAGGAGGAATGGAGATGGGAATTTTTTGAAAATAGTTTATATTCATTGTTAATATTTATTTACATCAGAATACTACGGGTAATTCTTAAAAAAAAGCAATTATTAGCCTATTTTGATACAGCTTTCTTTTAAAAAGACATTGCTGTTTTTCGAAAAAGGTTTAGAGCGCTATCACAAAAGCTCCACTCTTAGAATTTATTTCGCAAATATGCAGAAGTCAACTCAAAAAGTCTTTTTAAAGCTAAAGTGGTAGAAAAATTATGGGTTTTATAGTGGTGACTTTTGACGTCTACTTAGAAATGGTAACGGAATATATGAAATTAGAGGATAAATGCATGTGTGAATTTTAAAATTATTTTTGTATTTAAAAAAAATTTAAATAAATTAATACTACACATTTTCAAATGGAAAATGTAGAAACTACACAAGGTGATGGAATAAATACTGCTAACAGTCCATATAAAAAATATTTCAGTATCTCAGATGTAAATAGTTTGAACCATTGATGGAAGCTTCTTACAAAACGCATTAAAAATATCACAATGTTTTTCTCAAACTGCAAAATGTGAACTTACCGCCTTGTCCCCAAGTACACGATAATGTTATAAACGCTAAACACAGACCCCAAGCCAGTCTGTGAGTGGAGCCATATAAAGTTGAGACAAAGACGTCTGGGAGAGCGTGAATTCCTTGGTTCCACTTGTAAGTCAAAGTCATCATAGTAAAGAATGTCATAAATGACAGAAACCAGCCTATGGCATTAATATGCTGTTAATAAAAAGTCTAACTTAGTCTGCAGTTATAATGAACAATGTCATAGTGAGAGTGAGTCAAAATTCCTGAAATATTATTTAATGAAACTATTTGCATTTTTAAGTGTTAAAGGAATTTAAATTATTATTAGTTAGCAACTGATTATTTCTGCTAATATTTACTCCGACATTATACCTAAAACAGAGGTATAACTGGGCTCAGAGATGCCAACTTGCTCCGTTTCTTAAAGAGTATTTTCTAGAGCTAACGAAATTTAAGTTATTTTTAGCTAAATATTTTTTATTATAAGTCATTTTTTCCACAACTACTTATCCAAAATTTGAAGTATCATATAAAATGCATCTCTGTTAGCCATGTGGTTACTTTTTTAAAAAGTAAACGTAATTATCCCTATTTTACAAACTTTAATATTTAATTCGCTACCAATTTATCAAAACTTCTGCAGTAAGGGGAGTAGTTTTCAACCCAGTTTACAGCACCCGAGGACGAACTCAGTGTTTGAGCTCCCTTGCAATATAATCTTGGGCATGAGGGGACTTCCTGGGACTATTTTAAAATACATAAAATCAAAACTCTACCGCGCTTAGCATCGAATCGTTAAATTTTACATTGAATAAGATTTTGAAACGACAAATAATTTTTCAAGTGGTCCGAAATTAGAGAGCTTTTGTATTGCGTTTGCCTTACGCTAACAGTAACTCTAGCCTTATTTTCTACCTCTTGGAGACAAGGTAATTTGCAAGAAAATTTTCGCTCATGTTCTGTAAAACTCAACCAACGGTACCGTTTGAGGAAACCACAACCCTATTCAGATCTCTCTAATAACTTTACTTTTTACCCCTTTAATGCTTTACTGCAATAAAGGGGAAAAATTTTTATTTATTCTTTTATTTATTTTCCTCAATGAAATTTTTTCCCCTTCGTATACCGACTTTAAAATTTCGCTAAAAGATAAATTTAGCTATATCTAAAATAAGTTGATTTCTTATCAAAGAAACACTTTTGTTTAAAACGTGTATTTAAAGGAAGAAACATTAATAAATTCAATTCGTATTTTTTAAACATCAAGTGTTAGCACACTGCGATTATACATATTTTTGTTGATTAGTTTAGCTCCCTTATACTCTACATATATCAGTTCAAAGCACTATAGAAAAAGCTTTAGGGGTGAAATATTTTTCACTTAAATATAACTAAGATACTAATTAAGAACACAAATATACGAATCATTTTGCAAAAAATGTGAAGAAAAATTGCATAGTTTGTGCTTTTAAAAGTATAAAATAGTGATCCGAATACACCAAAGAAATTGGTCTAAAAAAAGTGTTGACAAAATAGTTCCTTTTATATCCACTTACAACCTTTATGAACTAAATCGACAGTACAGTCAGGAATAAAAGTAAAATGTTTTTTGATACACTGAAACAAACAAGATAATACTTCTGGTATATGGCCTCTTTTGGTCGCCAAGATGTAACCAACAATTAATCCAATAGCGCAAGTAGGAAGGTGAAAATGAATTGGCGTGTATCCTTTGACAGCATAAAAAAACCAATCACTGTAAAAAAAAACTTATTTAAGAACTGAAAAAAATACCTACAACAAAACAAACTACAAAATATTGAAGTCAAACAACTATTTGATTAGTCCTGTGCCTTGAGTTTGAGTAAAAAGTAAGGCAATAACCTATACGCATAATGCGTTGGTCAATAGCATATTAAATTTTATAGCTGACAATTTGGGAAATATACTTTTTTCTAGAACAGTAATAACATAAAATTTTCATTTTTATTGCTTCAAACAGAAATTTTTTAATAATTATCTTGTTCTTCTAAGTAAACATACCCAGAAGTTTAGAAACTCCTGCCCTAGCAGTTTAAACGAGTTCTATATTTAGTAAAATAAAAATTCCCTTTAATTTATTCGAAAATTAGGAGCTTTACATTTAAAATATCTTCTTACTGACTAGTTTTTTATAAAGAAACTTATGAAGTTAAATATTTCAAAAAAATTAACACTAAATGACTTACTCGAGATTCAAATATGAATGAAGATAAGTTGGTGGAATCTTGTAATAAAGATGAGAACATGCTGCTAGCAAAACACTCATGACGATTACCAATGCAGCTAATAAGAATCCTCTTCCCGGACTTCTACAATAATTTAAAAATAATAATAATATTCAACTATGCACTTTAACAATTGAAGTAAAATCTACAGGATTTGGATAAAAATATGGACAAAACTCTATGTGAACAATATTTCTTCGTGACAAATGTTTTGGTAGGCTTAATGTGACAAAACTTGAAAGATTACGCTTGAAACATTTAGAAATAATGTCCTTTTACCCATGCAAAATTTACCCCTACCAAAATGAGCGTAAAGAGTCTAAATTTTTTTTTTTAATTTCTTAAATACCACTATAATTTTAAAACATCTTTATATTTTTATCTTATAGCATATTTAAATCATTTGCAATTGAAACTTAGCATATGTTACGTCCTCCGTTTTTAAATTTATTAACTTAGATGAAGGAGCAGATATCCCCTTGCGATAGGCACTCCGATTAAACTGTATCATACAGTCAGTTATTATTATTTGCCCATCTCATCTCTGGCAATACACCACTCTATGCACTTGCGAAGCTTGGGGTTTTACCCAAGGGGATTGGCTGGATTTAATTGTATTATAATTAAGTATATTTTCTCCGATACATAAAGAGTGTAAGCTATTATTTTCCCCTCCCATTTTTGCTTCGGCAACTCTCAACTTCAATCATATGAATGAGCTAGAGCTCCTCACAGGGCTGACACTCAGATATAAGCTGCAACTAGGTAAAAAACATTTAAAATTTTATTGAATATTTTTAAAGTTATAGCTAAAATAAGTAAGACAATTTTATTTTTTTTAACTGAGTCAAGTTTCTTGAAATGTGTGTATTTCAATGGCAGATTTTAATCTTTTTTCCTCTTTCAGTGAGTTAAACAGAAATGAATAAATAAATAATAGTGTGTTTTATATACTAAAGTGAAAGGAGTAAATAATGTGATGTATATAAAATGCATTTTTCTGACTTATTGTCTTGTTTGATTGTTGAATTTTAATCATGATATAAATTTTATTCTATAAAAGTCTTTTTCAAATTTACAAAAATGCTTAAGGTGTATTTCGAATTTTTAACTGAAACAGTTTGTACTTTACCAGTGCGAGAAGGGGAAAAAAGCATTAATTTGTCAATCTATTAGGAAAAGAATGTACCAATGTAAAATTAGTATTTATGATTTAAAAATTGTCCACATAAATTGGACTTTATCATACAGTATAATATTCTTACTTTTCATAAATAAGTTTCGATTGTTTTTATGATCAGCCTTCTTTTAAGTTATTTTATAAACCATTTAAATACGAATGCTCCATTTCTGGAACATATATCATCTTTGAGATATTAAAGACAGGTAACTCAAATTTTTCAATTTAATCACTTATAGTTTTAGAAGCTTGAAATTCCTATCCAGCAGTATGTATCAATAATATAAAATTACATATCTTGTTATGAACTGTACACGTTAAGTTTTATAACCAAACTAGTTTAATTGCTCCAAACAGCCGATAATTATTTTCAAGTGGAAATCTTTAACGTATGATCTTTGGATTATTGTAAGTTCGATTTAGAGGATTTTTACCCACCACTAGTTGCAAACAATTAAAAGAATTATGTAATACTCTACTTTGTTATATGTAAGTTCGCGAAATTTCGTTTGTAGTTTTCAACCGTTTTTATTTTTAAAATTTTTTTTATCTTATCCGGAGCAGTTAACATCGTTAGAAATTTTCATTTACTTTTTGTGCAAACTTGCTACCACATTTTTCATTAAGGTTTCTTTTTTCTACTGTTGCAAAATAAGAGTGCGGCATGTAAACAGTTAAACCAAAAATCAAATAAAAATCCATAATTCTTTGCTTCTCTTAACCCTTTGCACTCGTAGTCCTTTCAACTGTTAAAAAAATGAACTCCACCACATTTTGGAAGAATTTTTGTAATCTTACCTTATAAAATCCGAGGATCACTGAATGAAATGGTAACTAAACATTAAGATGAAAAAAATTTCACATTCAAAGTGGTGGGTAATTTACAGGTGACTGACAGTCACCTCTCGAGTGGAAAGGGTTAAAACTAGGAAAATTCTTTCATAGAGATTAGATTTCAGGTTATTAGCATAACTAATTTCTTATATTTACTTTGTAAGCAGCACAACTTACCTTCTCATGATAGCGCAGACAAANCCTTTCAACTGTTAAAAAAATGGACTCAACCACATTTTGGAAGAATTTTTGTAATCTTACTTTATAAAATCCGAGGATCACTGAATGAAGTGGTAACTAAACATTAAGATGAAAAAAATTTCATAATTAAAGTGGTGGGTACTTTACAGGTGACAGTGGTGACAGACAGTCACCTCTCGAGTGGAAAGGGTTAAAACTAGCAAAATTCTTTCATAGAGATTAGATTTCAGGTTATTAGCATAACTAATTTCGTATATTTACTTTGTAAGCAGCACAACTTACCTTCTCATGATGGCGCAGACATACAAACTCACTATAAATATTTGGGTTTCTGTAGATAAGTACCAAGTCCATCCTAAGCACTAAAATAAAATAATCCAATCATATTCGTATACAAATATCCAAGTTAGAGGTATAGTAAAAACTAGAGGAATACTTAGAGGACTTCATTAAAAATTAGAGGAGCATCTAGATTTTAGTGGTTTCTATTCCTAAGAGCTCCATGAATTATGACATTATTTAACTGCTTATGATTCTCAAAATATTATTATTTACGAAAACTAGCAGTAAAATTTATGTTCAATTAGTTCTTTATTAATTTATATTAGTCTGATAGCCATTCTCCATATTTATTTTTCTTTCTAACTATTCTCCTCACTCTAACTATTTTCTAACCATTCTCCTTTTTTATTATTCTTTATTTTTACCAAAACTACTTTTTAGCTCATTTATTTCAGTAAAGCATGAGAAAAATCAAATCAAGAACCTCATTACTGACACTCGTGGCCGGTAAATTAAACTGTCTGACTTAAAACACAATTTTAAGACTAGTATTGATTAAACTACATGATTAAAGATGTCCTTTTTTTATTAAATGCTTTCCAAATAATTTATAAAATTGCAATTAATAATTATTTTCTAAAAAATAACAACCAATCGTTGATTAATTTCTTCACAATTGCTTTTACTTTATCTTTTATAAATAGCGTTTGAACACCCGACCCAATTCTTAGTTTACGACTATCAATGTCAACTCCGTAATCTTGTAATTTTGAACCAAACCCAGAAGACAAGGGATCTCCGGGATCAAACAAACCTTCTCTGAGCACTTTTTGATTGAACTTACCTGCATATGCGTTAATTTAAGCAGAAAACCACATACATTCACGGTAAGCTAGACGGCATGGTGATTCTAACCCATGAACTCTGGTCAGTGTAAACAGAGAACAGAATTCGTACTAACCAGCTAGGGCTGTGATTCGAACCTGGGGCACCTCATTGTCAGACGAACGCTCTATCCCTGAACCACCACGGATCAAATTCACAAATATTTATGAACTTTCTTTATTAGGTTTCGGGGTTTTGATCAAAAAAGTTCGAAAATTTAAGGTTTCATAGCCCAAAAATCTAAGAACAGCGGTTTCGAATTTTTTTCGGCTGCGGAACACTAAATGAATAAGTTTCTTCCGACGGAACCCCGACATCATAATTGAAATGAATAAAAACAAATGCGTTACTAAAAGAAATAAAAGACTACTTTATTCTGACTTTTGGACTTGCTTATAATTATTAAGATAAATGAACTTTCGAAAGATAAATGAATTCGCAGTCTCGGAGTATACCTAAAATAGCTATAAAATTTTTTTTTGGGTATTTTAAGTATACTCCTAAATATGTTTTTAGCTATATTAAGTATTTTAGGTAAAACAAGAACTGAATAAACTGTGAAAATGATTATTAGGGTAACATGTTTCTTTATTAGAGAATTCAGACATTTCATTTTGGTTTGAAAAGAGCAATGTGAAATAGTATTATGTCCTTTTTATAATTTCTCTTAATTGTTGTTTGAAATATTATATATATATCTTTAAAAAAAAATTCTTTTCTCACTCTTCGGCATTTTATTTTAAATATAATTTCAAACGGAATAATATAAGTAAATAATGGAATATTGATTAGATCCAAATATAAGTAAAGATTTCAAATTTTTTTTAGAGTGCTAAAAAAAATCTTAACCCTCGGAACCTTTGAGTTCTGCGGAACACCGTTTGGGAACTGCTGATCTAAAGGGTTTAATAGTAAATTAGAGCATTAAAAACAAACTTTTAAAAACACCGGGTTAACTGCTTAAATAAAATTCATTAACTAAATAAAGTTCATTAACTAAATAAAATTCATCAATTAAATTAAGTTTAAAAGAATCCTAAACTTGAGAAAATAATTTTGCATTTCAAAAGGATGTTTCAAAAACTAAACCACAACGTAAGGAATACAAAGTCTTGGGATCTGATCAATTTTAAAATTTTGCCTGAGCAGGGAAAACTCATAGATAATCAAAGCTGCCAAATTTCTAACCTTTTCGTAAATATTTATTCTAGTGGTAACTAAGTTTACGTTTTGGTGCTTTACTTTTTATTTATTTGAACTTATTTTTCACACCACTACATATAAATGATTTAAAAGTTCATATGCAACGAACTTTAATTCTTGACATTTCGTAGGACGGTCGGGACTCTACTTCAACAGAGGTAAACTTTTTTGTTAATGAAGTTTGTTATGATCTTAACGTTATGAATATTTGTTTGTCATTATGAATATTTGTTAATTCTTCCCATTTTTGTAAATATTTTCCCTTTGTGTAGTTTTCGTTTCCCTTCTTGTAAATATGTCTTGAACTTTTCTATATATTCAATTATATGTTACTTTTTACCATGGCAAAGTGCCATTATTTCTTCTCTACCTTAACCCTTTCGTGCCGACTGTCACAAATACGTGACAGCATAAAGCCGTATCAATCAGGGTAAAAATATAAAACTGGTAATCAAAGTATTTCCTTAGCAGTTTATTTGTGGGAGGAGTTATAATTGTTTGATTTATTTAATTCACCATTACTTTGTTCAAAATAAAACTATTTAGTTGTACTTTGAATTAACATTGATTATATATATGATTAAACTAACAATAATTAAAGTAAAAGCAAAGTAAGGGTGTCAAATTAGCAACGACTACATTTAAGTTACCGTTTTTTATTTAATTACAACTTGATTCTGATTTTGCACGAATGCTTTCCTGAAACACCCGTCCCCAAGGGGTTAACATGTGCCATTATTTGTTGCATTTTATGTAATCTGTCTATTGTTTTTGCTTATGTTGTCATTACAGGATGAAAGGGAAGAGGGCCTTTATTAGCTTCAGGAGGCCAGCTAGACCAGACTAGATCTGGACCTTTCGTGAATTTGTGGTGAGGCTTTAAAAATTCTGGCAAAATTACCAACAGTTCTGAAAGTTTTGGGTTTTAAATGCTTGCAAATTATACCGCTATACCACAGGCTAATGTGATTTCTGCGAAATTCTTTAATTTTTCCATTCTGATCGCAGTGATTTTTATATTCATAACTTTTTCTTTAGTGTCCATTAATGAATTGATTTGCTTATAAGTTACCATATGGTTTAAATCAGCCTAAGCGTTACTGGAATCCTTCGTTTTTCATAGAGACTTGCAGGGCGTTTACTTACTGGGGACAAGAACTTGGAAGCATAATGCTGTACAACTTGACATTAAACTTCACCTTGATCTTTAAAACTTACCGTTTTCGACGAATAGAAAATGTTGTTAAGGTAAAACAAATTCCTCCATCCTCGTTCTAGGCAGTTCTTGCTCAAGAAATCAGTAACAGTTTCTTTCCACAGAGGTCCAGATCCGAAACGTCCGATAATCGCAAAGAATGCTACAACTAGCATCATAGTTGGAGTCAGCCTATACATCGAGAAAAAAATAAATTTTGCACAAAATTATCAGATTTTTTAAATCTGAAAAATCTAACACCTTATTTATGGGATTGCCTCTTTTTCACTTTATGCTGTTAAAATATTGCAATTTTAAAGAAAGTAAAAAGTTGTGCTTTTTAGTTTTTGACATCGCTTTTAGAATTATGTATAAAGGTTCATGACAATACGATAATTCAACAAAGCACATAAACACTTTGTGAATTATCAATCATATATTGTAAAATAGTGCACATTCAATATTTTCAATTTACTTTTCAGAAATTTTGAAGAACTGATTGAAGTACTATTCTAAGCAATTACTTTTATAAAGTGAAAGGATACAAAATATTTTTTTCAGTAAAACTATCAATATAAATTTGTATTTGATACAAATTTTTAAAATACCAGAGATGAATAAAATAAGAAATTGTCTGGAGTCTTCTCAGAAAGAGTGAAAATGTACAGGTATGTATGTACCTGAGAGAGAGCATAAAGATAAAAAGAAATTACCTGAGATACCTCTTCAGGAATAATTGTTTCATATCTATTTTTCCTCTCATTCGGATGCAAACATATGAGAGAAGAACTGAGCTTGATAAGGAGAAAAAAAGAAAGAACAATACTTGAATGGTTTTATAATATACTATGATGGTGCATTAGTTAAATAGAACAATAGGAAATATGATTAAATTCAAATTTGAATTATCGAATATAAAAGTACGTGTGAGAGTCACCCTAAATGTTTTGTTTTTTAATTTAAAAAAACAGAGTTAACGGAATGTTAGTGGTAGTTCGTGCACCCTTTTTTTTATGAAAGTGATAGATACTTAATTTTCTTAATTATTTAATATATCTGCCACCTTTTATTATATTTATCAATCGTATAAATTTACGAAAACAATCACCTTAATGTTCTGTTATATTGTTAAATTAATCATACGTGAAACAAATATGACAGAAAAGTTGCCATTATTAACTACTTTAAATTGATTTCTGCTTTATTATTTGGCTCAACTTTATATATTTTTAAGCACACATTCCACCACTGGAAGTTACTAATGTGATATAATAAGTAACTTCATTTTGAAAAAAAAATTCCAATACGTAGAAACCCTGTTTATATGAAGCATTATTATAATAAACAAAATAGGGTGCCCCATGTAATTCGCATCCAAAACGTCCAACCCACTTGAACATTACAGTTACAATTTTTTTCAAAGCAAATACAAATTACAAATACCGGATTTGACTCCCTTGGGCAGTGCTGCCCGCCATGCGTAGATGGCTGTCCCTAGGACTCCTTCCCTACTCTTACCCAACAAACAAACCAAATGAAATAACAATTTTTCTGATAAAATTTTATAACATAAATTCTGTATTATAAGTTATGATTATAAATTCTATGGAGATTGTTCGAGAAAGTAAAATCGGCAGTAAAGACCGTTCTCACTGAAATGCGAAAAATTCTCACACGCGAATGAGGACACTATAGACTAATAGAATTAAACAGAGCCTCTTAACTCATTTATTCTCGCTGTATTTTTTTGTCTTGTTATTTATTTATCTGTTTTTTTTTCTTCGAATTCATGAAAAAAGTTCAACTGTTTCTGGTACATAACAAAAACTGTTAAAGAGAAACAAACACGTTTCAAAAACAGTTTCTGATTTATTTAATGGCACAAATTACCAGCAGTCTTGCGTGCTCATTTACGTAAGACTAAGTAACTTACGTAAGACTAAGTAAGACTTAGAAGCCTTTGACAAGTAGAAAGAGAGATGGTACAATCCAGGAAGATACATCCAGGATTTATCTCCGCATCTCTTTTCTTTTAGAACATTTAGCTTGAAATTCAGGAATTAAAAGTAAGTTCAGACTCAAAGATTATTTTCCTAAGTCAATTTCACGATTTTTTTAATCTAATTAAAAATATTGGTGTTTTAAATCGAAGCCTAAAGGTTATACTTCTCACAGAACGTATTTGTTTTGAAAAAAAAGTATGCATTTAATGTCCTCGTGGGTTGGTCAATTTTGCAGAGTGTCATATTCCGCTCCTAAAAAATTTGAAAAATGAGGCACACTAGTATAAAGTAATAGAGAAATTAATTTATTATGAGCAATAAACATTTATCTACAATTCTTTAATTCACAAAGTGACTCAAAAGTGTCTTTCCATCTTTTACTTTTAATGGCATAGAATAGTATAAATTATAGTATAAATATAAGTAAAAATTTATATTCTTTCTCTATCCAAAATGAGCAACTTTTTCTGCGTTTGGAGAAAAACACGCTAAGCTCACCTTCAAATGTTTGCAACCGAAAAAATCTGTTTTACTCTAAATAACGTAAGCAAAATACGAAAGTTCTACGTCATCAAATTCCGCTTTCAAGAAACAAAGTTTTTCAAAATTTTGTACCAGATTCTTTTGCTTCCCACTCGAGAAAAAGTAAATCATAATGAATAGCTCTTAATCAAGAATTGTGTAAATTATTTTACTTCTCCTGAAAGCAAACTATTTACCATTAGTTTTTTAACTTTTCCCATTATCAGGTCTGATGGATGTTGATCCAGGAAATTGCAAGTCAATGGGTTCTTAAGCGAAAATAACGAAGGCGCTCAAAAAAGACCACAAGCTGGAAAACCTATGATTTTCTCAACAGAATGTTAAGCATAGAATATCATTCTGAACACACAAAAAATAATCATTGAAGTTTTCAACAATTTGTGGAATCTCCCTCCCACATCCATGCTATGGAAACATTTTACCCATGCTGCTTTTTGTTACCACAAGACCATGCCGGTCCTCACACTTCAAGACAAACCTCAAAATGGCTGGACTTTAATGGAATATGTATTTTTAAGTAGTTAGCTTGATACCCTGGTCTTAGTCCCATCGTGAATTTGGAGGAAATAATGAAAATAAACTTGATAAAGCTTTAAAGTATAAGTGTAAGGAAAATTTGATAAAAATATGGGACGAAACAACGTTTAGCATTTTCAAGTCTCTCATAGACGCCTTTGATACTAAAGGAAAAAGAATTAACAACACAGATTTATCTTTAAAGTGTTGTATAAAGATATCTTAAAATAAATCTCAATTTCATATTAGAAGAGAGTTAGAAGTTGTGCCTGTACGAAAGCTAAACGAAGAAAAAGAGAGAAACAAAAACAAACTAATGAAAATTATGCACATAATCAAAGTAACGAGATTAAACGGTTTTACAAGTTATATCTGTACAAAATATTAAGGAAGAAAAAGAGAGAAACAAAGCAAACTAGCGAAAGTTATATACATAATCCAAGTAACGAGATTAAACTTTGTAAGTTGCGCGCCTGTTCAAAATCTAAAAAACAAAAACAAACTAACGAAAGTTATGCATATAATCTAAGTAACGAGATTAAACGGTGTAATATGTTGCGTCTGTACAAAAACTAAAAGAAGAAAAAAAGAGAAATAAAACTCCTCCTGTTTAGCTAACATAGACGGAAAAAGTTTTATCCTTAGTTTTTGTTTGAGGGGGAAAAATAGCACAGCAACTATTTATTTCATTAAGTCGAGATCAGATTTACTACATCGTGCGAAAATAGGGGTTAGCCCATGAAAAAATTTGAATATTTTATTATAATTTTTTTTGTTGTGAATTTTGGATTAGATTTTTTCATTGCTTGAAATTACAAGTGAAAATTTTATNTATATTTTCTATTTACTTCTATAATGCATATTTTGAAAAGAATTTTTTATTCCAAAGTTGCATTAAAGCAAAGCCAAGGTAAAATTGATCTGATGTCCACTTTTTTACGTAGCACTTATTCAAATAGAAATATGAGATTGTTGATGCATTCGCAAGGATTGCTAACTAATTGAAAAATAATAATAGAATATAATTTTATAGGATAATAATATTAAACTAGTGTTTAGGTTAATATGCAATATAAGATTTTTGTACAAAATGCCAACTTTATATGCGTCGCTATAAAAAATCTAACCGTTCCTTTATAATTTAAAAAACAATCCAATGTTTCTTAAATATGACTATAATATTCAAAATTATTTAAAATAATTTTGCTCGCGATATTTTTTTCTTCGTATTTTTTCTAATTTAAAATTTTATGGCTTTTAAAGAGAAAAAATAGAACTTCATATCATTATTCTAATTTCTGAAACCTAAGTTTCTTAGCAGCGGAAATTATTAGGTGTTTTATTTAAATTTAATTGTTATTTTATTTTGATTTGCGTCTACTTCGTCTAAAAATTTATTTCTTAGTTTAAAAATTTATTTGACTTTGATAAAATGAGATTTTTAAGCGTCTAACTACACAATCAAAGTAACGAGATTAAACGGTGTTACAAATTGTGTCAGTACAAAAACTAAAAGAAGAAAAAGAGAGAAACAAAAGCAAACTAACGAAAATTATACACATAATCAAAGCAACGAGATTAAACGCTGTTATAAGTTGCGCCTGTACAAAAACTAAGAGAAGAAAAAGAGAGAAACAAAACAAACTGACGAGAAATAACACACAATAAAGTCTTAGCACAAGAATTTATTAGGTGTTTTATTTAAATTTGCTACGATTTAATTATTTTATTTTGATTTGCTTCCACTTCTTTTAAAATTTTATTTCTTAGTTTAATTTTTTTTCACTTTGATAAAAGGAGATTTTTAAGCCACTAACTATGTCAAATGTAAAGCAAAAAACTAATGAAAGTTATGTTCACAATCAAAGTGACGAGATTAAATGGAGTTAGAAGTTGTGCCTGTACGAAAGCTAAACGAAGAAAAACAGAGAAACAAAACAAACTAATGAAAATTATGCACATAATCAAAGTAACGAGATTAAACGGTTTTACAAGTTATATCTGTACAAAATATTAAGGAAGAAAAAGAGAGAAACAAAGCAAACTAACGAAAGTTATATACATAATCCAAGTAACGAGATTAATTTTTGTAAGTTGCGCGCCTGTTCAAAATCTAAAAAAGAAAAACAAACTAACGAAAGTTATGCATATAATCTAAGTAACGAGATTAAACAGTGTAATATGTTGCGTCTGTACAAAAACTAAAAGAAGAAAAAAAGAGAAATAAAAGTCCTCCTGTTTAGCTAAAATAGTCGGAAAAAGTTTTATCCTTAGTTTTTGTTTGAGGGGAAAAAATAGCACAGCAACTATTTATTTCATTAAGTCGAGATCAGATTTACTACATCGTGCGAAATTAGGGGTTAACCCATGAAAAAATTTGAATATTTTATTATAATTTTTTTTGTTGTGAATTTTGGATTAGATTTTTTCATTGCTTGAAATTACAAGTGAAAATTTTATAAAAAGTGTAATCCATGCTATTAAAAAAAATCCAAAGTCATATTAACTTAAGTGCACTAATCAGTAGGTTTCGCTATGAATTTCATAAAGACAGCACTACTCTCTAGCGCTGCTTTATGTAATCTGCTTCTACTAATGTCCAAATTTCTAACTTTATTTTTCTTAAGCAGCCAACCAGCTGTGTGGTGGTCAAGAAGTTGGCTTCATACCTGTAAAGTTACGAGTTCGAATACCGCTTTTGGCATGAGTGTAATTTCTCTTTTTTCTGGTTGAGGTGATGTTGATCCTCTTATACTTGATGACAACGAAAGCAAGCTCAACAGTGAAGTATTAAGAGGCCGTATGTTGCCAACAGTGCTGGCCAATGAAAATAAAAATCGGAAAAAAAATTTATGCAAAATATTCATGTTTCTGTAAATCGCCCAAAATATCTGAATTTCCTTAAACTTATTTTCAGAGGTGCACGCTAAATAAAATGTTTAAAAACATTCATATGATTCTACAACAAAAATGCATTTTTACTTCAAAATAAGCATATTCGGCCAAGGTTACAGTTAACTGTTATACATAATTTAAGAGATTTTCTTGAGATAGTTCCATAACACTGAAGAAAACGATCCAACCAAACGTCTTTAAAGGTATAAGAGCAATCCGTTTATTTATTACTTTTTCTTTTTCTTTTTTTTGTTAGCCGAATCTCAACATTTATTATTTAGATAACCATATTGCAAAGCTTAATTGCAATATAATAATGCAAACTGTTCATAAAAAGTCTTAAATTGTGATGTCGCAAGATTCAATGAAACTCGAGAATAGGCATAATAAAACTCTGGCTGCTTATTTTTGTAGCAGTGCTTCTTTATCCAGAACAAAAACTATTTTTCTTTTAACTCCAATTTGCTTTCCACTTACAAGAAAGTATCATCTTAGAGCCAAAATTTACAAGATGGATAGGATAAATGTTACTGGTGATGATAAAAGAAAATTACCTCATAAAGAAAAAGTTTTCAACCGCTAAAAATCCACATGGTACAGTCTGGGAAAGGAAATCTTTCACCAAGTCTTGTCTGTGGAATACTCCATCTGAAATCAAACGAAACGAAATGTTTTAATTTGATATCATTGTTTAAGGTCATATGTTTTTGACACGAGTTATTTTCAAACGTGTAGACAAGTGAAAATGTATGCATATAAACGCATACCCATTTCTAAACTTGGACATTTAGACAAAACATAAACTAAACTAAATATGCAATTTTGAAAAAAAATATGCCGCTTTCAAAATAAACTTAATATCAAATTTGAATTCCCTACACCCGAATTAGGTAAAATCAAATACTTACATGAATGCAACAAAAAATTTGTCCCCAGGGTAATCTGAATATCTAATTGCATAAAATTGTGTATTAGATTACTAGACCCATAATTATGAACATTTTCAAGTAGAACATATGAAAGTAAATACATGTGAGGAAACTTTCGTTAAATTTCAATTTAATTAATAATAACATCATAAGGCAACAATGAATCTATCATTTCTTTCGTGCCTTGCGTGTTTTACATGGAGATTCAAAATTAAATTGTGAAATTAATTACACATTTTATACGAACATTAAAATGTTCAGCTGAATTTGTAGTTTATATTCGATTTCATAAACTAATAAAAATGAACGAAAGTTTTCCTTCTTTTTATCACAAAAATGTTCTCCATGCAAATGTCTTTACAAACCTGTATCAAACATGCCGAGATATTACAGTACGAGATTGCAATTACAGTATATTAGGATTTTCCGCAGAGGACAACAATGACGGATTCTTTGCAATACAAAACGTGAGCAGGGTGGAGCTTCTTAACTGTTTTGGTTTGATGTTTATGTTTGCCTCTAAGCAAAAGAAAGCTCCTAAGCAAGGAGGCTAATGTTCAACTATGTTTTGGGCACATTTGAGAAAGGGTTTACGTTTTGGATTTAAGCATGATTAAGAGTTATCTAAGTTACGTCACTATGTGAAAATTTGACTTGTTGAGGATAATTGTTTAAATAATTAATTGGCGCAATCCCCAATTGGGATGTAATCACTTAGCATCATAAATGAATTATTCTAATCAAAATTTATAACATATGGACAAGATTAAAAACAAGGTAATGGGAAGCAATAGTTAAAATTATATGCTTGCCGGAAAATATAGTTATTTACAAGTCAAAAAAATTATTCGAAAGACTATAGTAAATACAAAAGGAAAATGAAATTGAAGAGCCAACATGGGGTCCTCCATGGCTGTCCTCTGTTTCATAGAAGGGTTACTCCCTAATCAAATCTGAGTAATAAATGTCTATATACAGTATTTACAAGCTAATATTGATTGCTTGTTAATTCTTATTAGTATGTAAGATTTACAGACTAGTGTCTGAGAGTAAAAATAGCATTACCGGACTAAATTTGATGTTAAAATGTCATTAAAATTTAAGACATCATTGTTCTGGGCTTCTATGCAGAAATTGATGTTAAGCTTTGCGATGTGGATATTTATGCCTTCGATCTCTTGTTTTATCTTTAAAGTGCTTGTGACTCCAAGAGCTCCTAGCATCCATCTGATAATCTTTCCTTCAGTTGTTGAGAGTTTATTTGTAAGGGGTTGATAATGGAGATGCATAAGTTAAAATAGGATGAAAACATTTGAGACTTTTGTTGCTAATGCTGATCTGTGAGTCAGGATGAAAAATTGGTCAGAATAAAATTTGTGCTTTTTGAGCAGTTAATTCGATATGATCATTTCATATGTATTTATTATTTGTGTTAAGTCCTAAGCACTTTGCTTTCTTGTTGCTGTTTCTAATGACACTTGGACAAGTCAAGATCGTCAGCTATAGCTCTTGCGAATTAAGTCAGGAAGGAGCTTCTTTCGTTCGACTAGAGAGAATCTCTAGGGTGAAAGTGCGACTTAGCTCAGATCGCCGGGTAGAAGGTAGCACCACTCATTTGTAAGGCCACTTGCACAATTTAGACATAGATCTGAATTGAAATGAAAATTTTTTCAGATCCCTGTACCCATGGTGCTGTTGAATGACTGACCGCAGGACTTTGAATTCCGCTGATTTTATGAGGATATATGTACTTGTTGAGTCTTAGCGGCTTCGAAGATCGATTCCCGGCCAATTTTCTTAGTTTTGAAAATAGGTGTTTATGCCAGATTCTATCAAATGCTTTTGCGATATCTTACATTTCTTTATTGTATAAACCTTTATCAATGAATTCGGTTATTTATATTTTGATTGATTGGTGTTGGAGAGATTTCTCCTGAATGCATACTGCATACTATATCCAATCATCTATCTAATTTGATGATAATTCTCTACAGAATGGTTTTCTACGCCTAATTAAGACTAGAAAAAGAAGAAGAAAAGATACAATACGAAAGATTTTTCATTTCAATATGAGGAATTTTTAGAATCTCTTTTTTTATCGTAAGCATTCTTTAATTTAATTTTTTTAGAATCTAAAATAATGCCACTTCACTTAAAGATACTACTATTATATGTACAAACCATAAGACCGATACCAACTGATGCTTCATCTGCATGGTGCAGAGCACCAGATAACTAGCTAAATAAATTTGACAGTTTGAAATATTACAATTCATTACAAATGCTCCATACAACGTCAGGAATCAAACTTGAGAAGATGGCTTAAACTATCTTTTTATCTATCAGTATATTGCCTCATTGAATGCCAATTTTTCAGTAAAGCAAAAAAATTTGACGAGGCAAAATTTAATATCTTCAGCACAGGATCTTAAATGAAAATATCATACACAGCACATTAACATCATTTTTCTTATCATGTACCTGTATTACAACAATTATTATTTTTTTATTTTAATTTTTATGCCGACCATGACTATATGACTAGCCATGTCATTATTTTATCACTTTGAGTCAATATATATATATATATATTTTGTTGTAAAAAAGATAATTGTTAGTGATCACGAAAAAAAAAATAATTTTGTTAAAATATAATTAACTGTGTTAATATTCTTCGCAGTTTTCTTCAATATTTTACTAGCAATAAAAGATATTAAAAATAACTTATTACGAATAATCTAGAATTCAATAACAAAAGTTTCAAACTCTCCACCCTTTTATTTTGCTTAAACCTCATGAAACAGAAACCTAAAACATTTAAAAAAGCAGTAGCATTATTGTGGGGTAAACGTTCTAATAAATCTGTTACTAGATTACTAAAAAGGTTGGACGTATATTATAAGGTTGGACGTATATAACACATAATTTTAAAAAAATAATAAATATCAAATTTAAAAAAAGACGATTATTATATTTTAGATATAGATTAACGCGTATGACATATAATATGAAATACTGCAATTTAGCGATGATGATGGCTCAAAATTAGGTGAAGTTTCAATTTCTTTCTATAATTAATGTTTCAAATTTGTTTTTAAGCACTTTTTTAGTAATCAAATGATATGCAAATCTAGATATAGGTTTAACAAAATCAAAAATATAAAAAATTTTTAGAATAATGTTTTTAAAAAAATTTAGAATTCTTTTTTTTTTCACTTTTATTTTTGTTATGCATTGAGTTGGTGAGTTTTATAATATTTTTACTATGTATGACATAAAATGCATATTATAATAATTAATGCGTGTATATATTTAAAGGGGAAGCTTTATTTTCATAACAAATTTAATGATTGATTATCATTGCAAGCTCACATAAAAAAAAACATTTTAAATTTCAGTTTAATTTATGGTTAATATAAAAGTTTTTCAGCAAACTTTACAATATAATAACTTTGGTAATATTGTGAAAAGCTTACTATTTAGTTTTCATTATCTTATTTCACACGTTTGATTATACAAATCTTATGATAAAAGTAAACTTAACTTCATTTATTGTTTAATAATTGTAAATGATTAAAAATTTACTATAAATCATAATATTTAAATTTGTATAACTTATACGCTTCGGAGAGCTGTAAAAATTTGTCATACAACGCCAGTGATAATTTTTTCCCCGTGGTAATAGGTACTAGTGGTAGCTTGGTAAAAGGTACTGTCCCAATATACTTTTATAAATTTATGCAAATGTTAGGGGGAAAAAATTTGGATTTTTATGAGAAAACTAGATCATATTATGTGACTTATCGATTTATTGTGAATGCTCCGGCAGGTCATAAATTTTAAAATTACTTTTATATATTTAGATTATAAAAAGGGATATTTTTAAGGGATTAAGGGAATGATAAAGGGATTAAGACTATTCAATGCATTGAATAATCTTAATCATTTTTTTTATTTAATTTGTAGTTTTTTTGGAAATGTTTATAAAAACTGAATAATATAAATTATTATTTGGATCAACAAAAAATTATGATTATTAATTGAAAATAGTTTTCGTATTTAATAACAATAATGAGTATAATAATAATTAAATTGCATAAAAACATTAATCAATATGGCTATTAGTAGGACAAAGTAAAAAAGTATTTTTTCTTTGGACTCCAATATTCAAAACTTTTTTTAAACTTTAATACTTGAAAAAAAAATTTAAATTTTATTATTTGAAAAAAGTTAAAAATTGTTGCTTGCTTCAAAAAGCGCATTAAGCAGCACAAAATTACTAAACAGGCCGTAAATGGGCTGCAGGCCATAGGTTGCCGATCCCTGTTTTAGATTTTTGCTAAATTTAATAAGAAATAAAATTTTGTCAGCTTCATGGCAGTATTGGTCAATATCTTTATTCTCAGTAAAATTGATAGTGAATTTTTATGAATTAATAATAAGTATAGTTCGAAGTAGAACCTTTTTTCTGTTCCTATGACACGGCAGTTGTCAAAAAATCTTTAAATCCTAATTTTATATTTTCAAGACTACAAGACTTTGTCTACGAAATTGAGGATTGGTGTATAAACTGACGTTTAGCCATAAATACCGATAAAAGAAATTAATTATTAATTAAAAACTAAAGAATCAAAGCAAAATTCAGTAAAAGCGTATAAATATCTAACCAAACTGTTTCAGTGTTGCAGGAAAATAAACACCTTGCCCTGACATTAAAAA